ACATCAAACTGCCGCCTGCTGCAGGTGGATATGATAGATTATACAGGTGGCTACTCTTTTGCAAACAGGTTGTATCTGAGAGACTGTGTGACCACATACGAGTTACCCTCTCTTGAATTGCTGGACTGCAATGTTTGGTACTTTTCATTTATCTAGGTGTGGAAATATTATGCTTCTGTGGATTTCTTATAGTGCCTGATTGCGAGAAGCAAAATTCAAATTTGTGAAGTCTGATTTTTCTTCTACTTTCTGTAATACGAAGCTTCCAGTGTTTCTTCTTCTAAAACAATGGAAGCTCATCATTTGCAATGAATTAACAAAAAAGTTGGTTTGGCCTAGTCTTAATTCAGGTAAGTTCATTTAGGGTGTGGGTGCTTTGCCAGTTATTCATGTTATTTCAATCTGAACTCAGGCACAGTTTACTTTTTGACCAACTTATTTGATATAGGAAGACAAATGTAAAGCTAGAAAGGAGAGGCTTAGGCATATTATCCTTGTTTCCTCCTATTTTGGTGAAGAAATAGAAGGCTATTTTGTTTCCCCTGTTTTTAAATCGTGCTGTGGACTCGTTTATTAAAAACTTCTCTCTTGTTAATTTCAGTCAAAGTTATTAGCTTCTTTAAAATTTTCAAGTAAATGATCAAGGGCTTAAATGTTTTTTTGGTTATGCTGTACAGACTCTTGAGATGCTTGAGAAAAAGGAGAAGGTTTTACTGAAGAAGGCTGCAGCTGAGGTTGAAAAAGCAAAGGAATTTACTAGAGCAAAAAACAAAAGGGGTAGGTTCTACTGAAAATCATTCACAAGATGATATTTCTCCTTCCTATGTAGTTCACTAGTTATGAATACCTTTACATTGATATTTTGTTTTCTTATGACATATGTTATTGTCATGCACTTAAGGATGTGGCATACCATGAAGAATACTCTTAAGCATGTACGATAAAGTGCTAGGTGTTTAATGTCCATTATTCCCATGTATTTGCATGAAATCTGGAATATAATAACATCAGACAGATCTGATGATATAACTCTGTTTTGTGTGAGAGACAAGGTAGTTTATGTATGGTGAACTTGCTATTAGGTTAACAAGTGAAAAAATTATCTTACAATATGAAGTGATAACGGGGTACTGGTTTTTTTATGTCACTGGTGTGTTATGATAATTTTAAAAAAGATAGCATGCATTTAGTATCTTCATGAATTTATCGTCTTATCCTTTCTTATTTTCTGCTTTGGGGATTGGGGTGATACATGAGGTTATCCTTGAGGTCCTTGTCATTTCACAAATTCCTTTATTCCGTTTTAACTTTTAAGTCACGTTTAATGTTTCAACTGACAATTTGAAGTAAGTAACAAAATGGAAAAGAAAGGTATGATGCTTTGATTTCTAACCTCTTTTTATTTTAGAAAGCTTTTCTTCTAATTGGATAATGGGTCATCCTCTCTACCCTTCTCCTCTGTTCTCTAACTATCTATCTACTTATTTTCAAAGAGGGAATGTTTAAAAAGAACATTTCATATTTAAAACTTGGGAGAGTTATCCTTCAATAGGAAAGACTTGTGTCCTTTCTATTACCTTGTAAGTTATTATGGTTTCTTTGCAAATTCTCATGCTATAGACAATATTCAAGACATGATTGACCCTCAATTTCATAAAAAAGTTGGGGTCAATTGTATGAATCCTTCGAAAGTGTTCCTCTTTGTTTGGAACCAAATCATTTGAACAACTATGAGGTCTTGGCACTAAAAGTTTGACTTGTTTTTGGAGGTATCTTAGATCATGTAAAAATTAGAGATAATAATGTATTTCCTCTGAAAGAAATGGTTAGAGATAATAAGCTTAGAGATGCTTTCAATGAAAACGGCATTTGACTGTAGCTGGTCTGCTTGAATTCTGGATATTCTTCTTCATTTTCCTGGATATCCCCCCTTTTAAAGCAAAGGAATAAACATGATTTACTTGCTCATACCAGCTCAAGCTAGTCTCTTGGGTTTGAGTTAAAATGAATAGGTTATCATTCTCGCTCATGCACATGGCTTTCAGTTTTCGCTGCCTTTAGCATTGCGAGGACGTACTATATTATTGGATGGTGTTGTGAATCATGTTCTTGTATTTTGAGTCATTATGTCCTTGCTAAATTCTCAGATTAGTTTGATGACAGCAGTAACAGATTTCTTTTATTTTTAGCTGCAATACAATGTTTGAAAAGGAAAAGGCTTTACGAGCAGCAAATCGAGCAGCTCGGAAACTTCCAATTGCGTATTCATGATCAGGTGCTCTTCATATGTTCCTACATCTTAGAATCTCTGCACCACTGTGTCATAAAAGCACGAAGAGACGGCGATCTGCATTCACTTATTTGTGTATTGGTTTCAGATGATAATGTTAGAAGGTGCAAAAGCCACAACGGAGACTGTTGATGCTTTAAGAACTGGAGCAGCTGCAATGAAAGCTATGCAAAAGGCAACGTAAGTTACATATGCTATGTGCTCAGTGCTATTTAATGGTGTCTTTTCTTCTGTAGATGCAAACATTTTTTTGCAGAGATAAACTTATGAAAAATACAAAGTTGGAAATAGAGATCTCCAAGTCAGGAATTTTTGGTCTATGCATGTTAAAACATCAAATTTACCTTGTAAATTCCTTTAAGATATGATCTGTCATTACTGAATCACCTCAGAGGTCAGGCCTTTTTGTAATTTCCTTTCATGATTTAATAGATATCAATAATCTTAAATTCCACAAAACTTCATATGTTTTAATTATGAGTTGCCATATGCTATTTAAGCACACACATTAGGGTAATTTTTCATATCACCCACACCTACACAACGTGTTGTCTGTATATGTCACTTGGGTGTTTCTGATTCGTCAAGATCAATCTCCAATACTAGGTAGTAATTAGTTCAGTTTGTTGTTATGATTTCCTGTTTAACTCAGGGTTTTGTCCCTGATATAAGCTAATGTGTTCTGTTTTCAGGAATATTGACGATGTCGACAAAACAATGGATGAGATCAATGAGCAGACTGAGAATATGAAATTGATTCAGGAAGCATTGTCAACTCCAATTGGTTCAGCTGCTGATTTTGATGAAGTATCTCTGACTTATTCCTTACATTTTTGTTTATTTTGTAATTACTCTTTTAGGACAATAATTTACATGTATCTTTCTGCAGGATGAATTGGAGGCAGAACTTGAAGAACTAGAGGGGGCTGAATTAGAGGAACAGCTCCTTCAGCCTGCTACAACCGCTCCTGTTGCGCCAATTAATCTTCCTGCTGGCAGGCAACAAGTGCGTCCTGCCGCTCAGAAGACAGAAGAAGATGAGCTTGCTGCTTTGCAGGCTGAAATGGCTCTTTAAACAGGTCATTTCCGTTCATGTTCCTCTGTTGCCACTGAATGTTGAGTCAAGGAACCTCTGATTTGCGTATTTGAAATTTTGAAGTACCTGATGATATAATTCTATTTACATGCACAATTACAGCTGAGACAAGCTATATTTAGAATCTGAACACACTTCCAGTCTTATGTTCTATTTTCATAGATTTTTCCTTTGTGGTGCGCTTGCAATAGCACTAGATCCTGGGTCGGGATTTTGTGGGTGGTAAACGAGTATACTTATTCGTGGATTATATATAATCGATTGATATGGCTCTTAGGTTTCGAACTTGAATGATCTCAAGTTGGCAAAGGAATTTCCAGTATGGACTTAGCGAGTATGTAAGTTGTGCAATTCTCGATTAGACGCCTTCCTATTTGCTTGTCAGTTTGGTAATGTGATTCCACTCTCAACTCTTGATTACAGACAAAAAATTTCTCTTCCCTCACTTTTTTCTCTACCCTCGTGAAAATCCCATTTAAAAGCAGGAAAATGAACCTTTAGACTACCAAGAATCTCTCTGAAATTGTACCAACAAACAGTGATTCTGAAATTTATCCAATTCCTTCCGTTGCTTCTAACTGGAGATATTAATTAGTTCACGCTTTTCTGAAGGATCTGTTAATGAGTATAAAAAGAACCTACCCGCTTGAGATATTATTTGCTGTCTTGTTCAGATAGATGTGCTGTGTTTGGACAAAGCTATTTAGATTTTAAATGACAGTTAAGTTCAAGATCATTAGATCGCGTTTTTCATTTTTCACTATTCATAGTAGCAAAATCACCACAATGGATGCAACTGCAGTCTTTTTGATGGATTTTTTGTATGAACTTTCTTGAGTGATTCCTTCTTTGGTGTCTTTTGTTGCAGTTCTTGTTGCCTCCCACGAGACAGCGTAAAGGCTTGATGTATTCTTATGGTGGATGGATATACCTTTGGGGCTTTGAATTCTTAAAGATGCATGCAGGATCAGAAGTTACTGTATAAATGACAGCAGATGATGAGTTTACATTCTGTGTGAAGTTGAAAGTGGGAAAATTGTATGCTAATTTCGTGTGAATTATTATGAAAAAAGATGTTCTAAGATATACTTTTAAATGAATTTTCAAGACTTCTGTTGTTTACATTATTATGATCAGAAAAAACCTTCTATATATACAACTTACAAGCACTTAAATTCAGGTGAGTGAAAAGTACTAGTGTTCAAAATTTAACCATAGAGGCATATAATTGAATCGAAAGCGGACATGTTTCCATTATTCAAATGGCTAATTAAGTCAAATATGATACTAAAGATGGCTATTGAACTTATGCTGAGCAATGCAAAAGCTTAAGTTTTAACAAGGTATGATGTACCACACAAAGCTTGTTGATTGATAGAATGTAAGAGTTTTAATATCCACAAGTTATGTTGTACTATGCATAACTTAGTTTCAACAGAACTTGTGTGTCATGGAAATACAACACGACTTATGCTGCATTACTCAACTTAACTTGTAAACAAAGAGATGCAATCAGTAGAAGTTGAGGTTCAAAAACCATAAATTATAAATGGAGTATGTAAACTTGTTGTCATATTTCTTTTCTAGTTGACATTCAAATACTAAACAAGAGAATTACTAAACTTCCTTTGTGTGTTTTCACATATAGTTTCACAATCACAATGACTTAATAACATACATCAATCTCCAAGCAAATCATCAGATGGGAAATCATCAATTCCATCTTGTTGAGTACTCCATATGCCATCACTAGTGTTGGAATCCATTGGAAAAAAGCTTTCAAACCATGCAAGATCATCAAGTGGTGAAGAACATGTTTCAAAACTCGTCGATCCTTCGATGGAAGGTGAAATCTTGGAGTGGTCTTCCTCTTGAGTGAATCTTGGATTTTTTTCGCCTGTTTCAACCATATTTTTATCAGCAGAGTCGCTACTTGGAATTGGTAATTTCATTGCTTCTTTTGTTGCTGAAACCTTCTTCTTCAACTTGGTATTCCAGTGATTCTTGATTTCATTGTCTGTTCTTCCTGGAAGCTTAGAAGCAATCACACTCCATCTGCAAATTTAAAAACTTTGGATTACTTTTAAATACTAATAATAATGTTTTGAAAGAAAATATATTAAAAAAAAAATTTAAGTTGAAGAGCAAGATTTAGCCTGCTTCCAAGCTGATTGTAGAGAGAGCAGATAGTGTTGTCTTCATCTTGTGTAAAATTTCCAAGTTTGATATTTGGACGAAGATAATTAAGCCATCTTAACCTACAACTCTTGCCGCAACGATTTAGCCCTGCATTTTATACATTGCTCTCTTCGTATAAAGAAATATTAAAGGACAACAACACACATAAAGTGGGATTTGTAGGGCAGTAAAATGTATGCACACAAATCTTATTCTTATCTTAAAAGTAGAGACAGATTTTTATAAATCTCCAATTATTTTTAAAAAAATCTAAAGCAATATAAAAAAATAAATAATGAAAAATAAAAAGGTCATGACAAAATATAATAAACTATCTAATAAATTATATTGACCAATAATAATAACAAGATAATAAAAGTAAAAAAAATAGAAGAGTAATGTTACAATTAATTGTATGGCTAATAACACATAAAGGAGGAGGTAAAAAGAAAAGACTATATTGAGAAAATCATATAAAAGAATTAATTAAATGAATTATTTGACTAGATTACATTTTCTCTCTCTTCAAAACAAGTAAAAAAAAAAGACTACTCTAGAAAATTATATAGATTGTTTGATAGGAGCAAAGGAAAAAACATAATTAATGTTATCGTTGTTAATCAGAGTTGAACTCAAAATTTTAAAATTCTCCAATTATAAAGGAACTCTTTTCTACTAACTTTCTTCGACTATAACACAACAATCAAGTAGACAAGAAGACGTCACAATCAAAAATAATCACATATTTTTCAAAAGCTAACAAAACAAAATCGAAGTGACAAAATTATTTTTAAAAAAAGAGAGGTAAAGAAATAGAACCAGCTCTTTTAGGAAGGGCAATCCAACTGCCTGGATTGCCATGGTTAAAGATGTGATTCTTGAGAATTTCATCTTCCTCTGGTGACCATTGTCCCCTTTTCACTTTGCTCTTGTCACAACAAGGTGCCCTTACCATGTTTTTCTCCTTTTAATTCACCTTTTTAAGTGTGCAAAATGATATATATATATATATGTCATAAGGATGTTGATAGTCTAGGAAATTTAATAAAAAGTTAATAGAATTAAATATCATAATAATGATTTAACATATTTTTTTGAAATACTTTTAATATACTTTTGACCATTTAGTTGGTCATATAAAATCTTAATATTGCCAAGAGGGAAAAAAGAAAATTATTTTTAGTCACTGTTCCCCTTGAATTTCTTGAAATGGCAAATCCTCTATATTTAGTTTTAGTTTGGACACTTTGCTTCACATGTTTTTACTTTTTTACTAAATATATAATCCACACTTTTTCATTCTTTTACTTTCAAAACTTATTTCAACTCTAAAAAAACACAAGTACATGCTAATTATAAAGTAGTAATACTAATAATAAAAGAATTGCCAAGTACACTAAGCATTGTAATAATACTAAATGTTGTATGAAAAAGACATTTGGTTTCTCTTTGTGTGTTTACCACTTTGTCAAGAAAGTGTGCATTTGTACCAAAATGACACTGTAAAATCAAAGTTGCAGTCTTTGACATGTGATTTAGCTGCTATCTTTGTTGAGTTTACTACTGCAGAAAGACTAGGTACATCATTACAATAAAATAACTTTAAGCCGTAATAAAAATACTCATTAACAAAGACTGTTAAAGTTTTTATTTATATTAATTAGTTGTGTCATCATTGGATTCAATGTTGTTACAGACTTTAGGTACAGTTATATATAAAGAATATTGTTTGCCGTTAAAAATACATATTTAATAACAATTATGCTATTATCGTTAATTAATTGTCTCTACAAATCATTTTTAATATAGTAAGTTGATTTCTAAGATCACTTCCGGTCCTAGGCTTTTAATTAGTTAGTCCTGGTAAAGCCCTAGGCATTGCATTTTCAAAAGCTTCTCAAGCTCAAACATTTACTGTTGGGTATGTAGCAAGAATTGATGGGAAATAGATGGAAGGAGAGGAATTTGAAAAGTTTAGAACTTGAAAGGTTGGGAACTTGAAAGTCTTCTAATGCTTTAATAAAAAAGGCAATAGTCCTTCATTGGTAATGAAAATGAAAATAGGAGAGTTTAAATAAATAAACACTCCTATTAATTGTTAAAAGGGTTGGAAAGAGGGACCCCCCTCGCGCCGTCGTCGCTCGCTCGCTCGCTTCGGCTTTGGCTTTGGCAAATGATCGATCGAGAGTATTTATTTAATTAATTAGTTGATAACAAAAGTTAACTGAAATGTTTTCAACTTTTTAGTTAACCCGACCCGACTCGGATCCGCGCGCGTGACCCGTTTTAAATTCCGTTATATTTAAATATTTCCGCCATGACTGTTCTGAAAGGTTGTAACTTTCAGAAACAGTCAATACCATTTGAAAGTTTGCAACCTTTCAGAATATATTCTTCTTGCCTATAAATACCATTCAGTCTTCAGAATATTTCCCTACGAATTTTCTGATCTTCCTTCTTCTTAAAAACACATATTTCTTCGTGTACTTTCCTGCTGTAGATTGATTCGCTGACAGTAGAGTTTTTGGTATTTATACTCTACTGATTAAGATCATTTTACCCTGGGATGTTATATTCCAAATCAAACCTCGGATACTAGAGGGGAATAATTTCCGTAAGGGGACACTGTGAATTCAGTGGACTTGATTCTCTTCCTAAATTATTAAAAAGAGTATTCTAGATTCTGGTAAGATTTTACAGATTCAATTATTTTTTACAAATAAATTTCTGTTCATCTTACTTACTGGTTCTAAAAATCTCAGTTACTTCATGTTTCTGAATGATTTATTACAACCAGTAATTTTTGATTTTCATAACACAGATTGACAACAATCTTAAGGAAATTATTAAATCTGTGTTTCTGGTGGAGACAAAAATCTTTGTGATTTTATACTCCTTTAAGTCTGCAATTATAGTTTATTGCTTACTTATATTATATCAATTTTGTTTATCAGAAATGGAAAACACTAGTGTTACAGTGGCCATTGCTGCACCAACCTGAACTCTTGTATCACAAGCAGAGAAACCGGGTAAATTCACAGGTGTGAATTTCAAAGGATGGCAGCAACGAGTATTTTTCTGGCTTACCGGTCTTGGTCTGCAGAAATTTACAAGTGAAGATACTCCAGAACCTGCTGATGATATGCCAGACAGGAAAAAATTTATGATTGTTGAAGCATGGAAACAGTCAGACTTCCTATGTAAAGGTTACATTTTGAGTGCTTTAGAGGATGACTTATATAATGTCTATAGTGCAATAACAACTTCAAAAAAGTTGTGAAATGCACTTGAGAAGAAATATGAGACAGAAGATACATGTTTGAAAAAGTTTGTGGTCGCAAAGTTTTTAGACTATAAAATGGTAGATAGTAAAACTGTTGGATCACAAGTGTACGAACTTCAACTTATTCTCCATGATCTGATTGCTGAAGATATGGTAGTAAATGAAGCTTTTCAAGTGGCTGCAATGATCGAGAAGTTGCCTCCTTCGTGGAATGATTTCAAGAATTATCTAAAGCACAAACGTAAAGAAATGAAGCTTGAAGATCTTGTGATTCGGCTAAAGATTGAGGAAGATAACAGAAATGCTGAAAAGAAGTCGCGTAAGAGTTTAACAATCATTGGAGTTAATATTGTTGAAGAAGCTCCTACCAAAGACAAAAAGAGAAAGAAGTCTAACGGGCAGAAGTCAGAACAGGCCAAGAAGAAATTCAAAGGCAACTGTTATAATTGTGGCAAGGCTGGTCATAGATCTTCTGATTGTCATGCTCCAAGAAAGGACAAAAACAAAGGCAAAGACAAAAGTCAAGCAAACATCGTGGAAACATGGAAGGTGCAGATGACTTGTGTGCAATGATATCAGAGTGTAACTTAGTTGGAAATCCCAAGGAGTGGTTTCTCGACTCAGGTGACACTAGACATATTTGCTGCAAAAGAAACCTTTGCAACGTACACTCCTGCTGAGTACAATGAAGATTTATTCATGGGAAACACAGCAACAATAAGGATTACAGAAACTGGAAAAGTAATGTTGAAAATGACATCCGGCAAGGTGTTGACTTTGAACAATGTTCTGCATGTCCCTACTATTAGGAAGAATTTAGTTTCTGCTGCACTACTCGTTAAAAACGGGTTTAAGTGTGTCCTAGTTAGTGATAAAGTTGTAATAAGTAAGAATAAAATGTTCATAGGAAAGGGCTACCTCAATGAGGGTCTTTTCAAACTAAATGTAATGGTTGTTGACAGTATTAATAAAAATTCTGCTTCTGTTTACTTATTGGAGTTAAATGATTTATGGCATGCCCGTTTGGGACATGTAAATTACAAAGCCTTGCGAAAATTGGTTAATCTAGAAGTATTGCCTGATTTTAAATGCAATAAGTCAAAATGTGAAGTTTGTGTGAAAAGTAAGTTTGTTAAACATCCTTACAAGTCTGTTGAAAGAAATTCTAAAACTTTAGATTTAATGCACACAGATATATGCGATATGAAGTCAACACCATCTCGTGGTGAAAAAAAGTATTTTATAACTTTTATTGATGACCGCACTCGATTTTGTTATGTATATTTGCTTAATTGTAAGGATGAATCAATTGATGCATTTAAGCAATACAAAAATGAAGTGAAAAACCAATTGAATCTAAAGATAAAAATGATTCGGAGTGATAGGGGTGGAGAATATGAATCTCCTTTTGCAGAGATATGTTTGAAATATGGTATTATTCATCAAACTACTGCACCTTATACACCAGAGTCAAATGGTATTGCAAAACGGAAGAACAGAACATTAAAGGAAATGATGAATGCCTTAATGATCAGTTCTGGTTCACCACGAAATCTTTGGGGGGAAGCAATCCTTACAGCTAATAAATACTCAATAGAGTACCCCATCGAAAAACACAATCAATTCCATATGAGTTGTGGAAAGGAAGAAAACCCAACTTGAAATATTTCAAAGTGTGGGGGTGTTTAGCCAAGGTAGAGGTTCCTTTACCGAAGGGGGTTAAAATTGGACCCAAAACAATAGATTGTGTCTTTATTGGGTATGCTGTGAATAGTAAAGCCTGTCGATTTTTGGTTCACAAATCTGATAATCCTGAGATTCATGTTAATACGATAATTAAATCAGATAATGCAGAGTTTTTTGAAAATATTTATCCGTATAAAACTGAAAGTGAGTCAACAAGTGAAATACCTAAACGACCACGAGAAGAATCAATGAAAAATATTCTAACTAGTGAGGAACCTAGGCGAAGTACTCGACAACGAAATCTGTTTCTTTAGAACCAGATTTTGTAGCACTATTGCTTGAAAATGAGCCTCAAACATTTAAAGCAGCTATGTCTTCGTCAGAGTCAACTTATTGGAAAGAAGCATTCAATAGTGAGATTGAATCAATTTTAAGCAATCACACTTGGGAATTGACTGATCTTCCTCCAAGAAATAAACTTTTAGGATCAAAGTGGATGTTTAAAAGGAAAATGAAAGCTGATGGGACTATTGACAAATATAAGGCTAGACTGGTAGTCAAAGGGTAGAGACAAAAGGAAGGTCTGGACTACTTTGACACATACTCTCCAGTAACAAGGATAACATCAATTAGGATGTTAATAGCACTAGCAGCAGTGCATGATCTTAAAATCCACCAAATGGATGTAAATACAACCTTCTTAAATGGAGAGTTAGAGGAAGAAATTTACATGGAACAACCTGAAGGGTAGTTCCTGGTAAAGAAAAGAAAGGGTGCAGACTTGTGAAGTCACTTTATGGACTCAAGCAAGCACCCAAACAATGGCATGCTAAATTTAATCAAATAATGTTGGCAAATGGATTCAAGATTAACGAATGTGATAAATGTGTTTACATTAAAAAAAGTTATGAATCATGAAGTCATTGTTTGTTTGTATGTTGATTACATGTTAAAAATGAGTAAAAAAATTGACGATATAAATGCTACTA